AACCACTGGGATGTCCCAGCGCTTACTACGTGAGCAGCGTTTTGTGGGCACAATGAGGATGATGGTACTTTGCAGGGAGGGGGGAAGAAAACCCTGTCTGCACAGATCCTAGCGTATTGTCAGACGTTTGATCAGTATTGTTCCACACCTGATTATAAGTGGAATGTATTGAATGATACCAAAACTCTTGGTGACTCATATTCCGGGAATGCCTTGGAAATTTTATATTATAAAGTAAATATGCTCAAGTAATGACATCCCGCTTTTGGTACAAGCTATTCTTTTTAAAGTTTACTCTGCAGGTCATCTTGTTTTTAACAGCTCTGGATTGCTAAAGAAACTGTGACCACAGAGTATTAATCTTTTTGTCCATCGTATTACTTTAACACTGTCTGCTTTAGGTCCAAGGTACTATCTTGTCCATTTCTGCACTGTGTAGTGCTATTTTCTCATGCATGTAATGGTGTTATGAAGCTGAAGGTTGGCCTTTTTATTATTATCATGTTGACTGTTGGTAAATGTATATGTACTAAATGATAGTGGCTTAACCTGGTATTGTTGTCTTTTTTTTTTTTTTAAGCACATTCAGAACCTACCAGCTTTTAGAAGTACAGTCTACTATCTGTTGACTTACTGCAATAAGTACTCCAGGGCTTTGTTTGCACAAGACATTTTGACATGGTGAACAATGCAAAATTACTAGGATCTAAACCCCTGCATTCTCTAGAGTACTCTCAAGAAGGTGCATGCTGCAGATGGCACCAGACACCTAGTCAGTTAAGCTGCCAGGGCGCTCATTGGGATTACTCGAGGCTATACGCTGGGAGGTGGGAGGTGTTTCCGAGACAACAAACCTTTCCCAGTTCATTTGTTGGTCCACCTTAGTGAGCAAGAGAGAAGTTGGAGAATCACAGTAAGACTGGTGGGTAGCTGGGCGGTCTGACTCTGCCTCTACCTCCCATGAGCCTTCACGGTCCTGCAGCTGGGGTGAAGCATCAGGAACTGTGCATGACAGCAGTGTTCTCGTGACAGTGTGACTAAACACATGCATGGTGGATTGATGGATCTCGCTCTAAGATTATATAACCAGGAAACACCATTTTGATAGGATTTAGATAATAAATAATAGATCACTGGCTTTTTTTTTTTTTTTTTTTTTTGCTGGGGCTGGGGTTGAACCCACCACCTCTGGCATATGGGGCCGGTGCCCTACCCTTTGAGCCACAGGTGCACCCCTGTCACTGGCTTTTTTGAAAGATGAGGGTGTGTGGTGTGTATATACTTAAATTTAATAATTTTTTAATGTAAAAAATTTTGAACATATGCAAAACTGGAGTGAATTTGCATAAATAAAAGACTTTTAAAAATTATGCACTTAGAATAGACCCTCCTGCCTGAGTGGGACAACCAGTCACACCCTATTCAGGCAGCTTGGGCTGCTAGCCTGAGTGTGTGGACCCTGTCCCGGAGTTGGCTCCTTTTCGCAAAGCTTCCCTTTTCCAAAAGGGGTCTGTCCCTGTGCAAGATAAGAGCAACTCAAGTCAGACCAACACATTGCAGACAATAATTAGACACAGTGTAGAGTCACAGAATGTTGAGGGGAGAACCCTCTGGTTCAGTTGTCTGCTGCCCTGGCAGCATGTCAGCAGCTGGTCCCATTGTCCTTTACTTTGCTCAAATGGCATGTTACCTTAATTAATCTGGGGTTGTTAAACCAGCCTTGCATTTCTGGGATGACTGATTTGGTCAAGGTGTGTGGTGTGAGCCTTTGTTTGCTAATGCATTAAGGACTTGTTTGATGGGTCCTTACTGTATGTAACACATATATTCATGTTTTACATATGACTGTGTAGGTGGTTATGTTGTACATATGACTGTACATGTTTGCATGTACATTTATGAGGGATACTCTTGTGTACTCGTTTTCTCTTTTGACATCTTTGGCTTTGGTATTATGGTAATTCCAGGCTGAAAGAATGGGTGGGAAAATTGCTGCTTCCTTTTCTGTTTTCTTAAGGAGATTGTTTAAACTTTGTAGTCTTTTCTTTCTTAAAGAATTCAGTGGTAAAGCTGTTTGGGTCTGTTTTTTTCGTGATAAGTTTTAAATCACTGATTCACTGTCTTTATTTCATAGAGGGCTGTTCAGATTTTCTTTCTTGTATGTCAGTTTTGGTACCTGTGTCTTATATTGAATTTGTCTGTTTTATCTAAGTTGTCTGATGGATTGATGTAGAGCTGTTTGTAATAACTTCTCAGTCTCTGTAGGGTCCACTGTGATGACCCCCCTTTGTCTCCTGCTTTGGCTGGTTTCTCTTCTCTCTTTTTCTCTTGGTCATTGTCTTAAAGGAGCATCATTATTTTTTATTTTTATTTTTTATTAAATCATAACTGTGTACATTGATGCATTTATGGGCTCGGTGCACTGATTTGATATACAATGTGAAATGCTTACATTGAACTGATTAGCATATCTATCACAATTACACTCTTTCTTAATAGTTTTGAAATGTACCTTTGCCTCATGCACATTAGGTGAGATCCCCCCAAATACCCTCCCTCCTCCCTCCCCTCTCTCCTCTCTTTACTTCTACTTTCTGGACTATAGTTATGTTTTACATATGACTGTGTAGTTGGTTATATATTGATTTCATAGTAGTATTGAGTACACTTTTTTGAGTATCGTTTTTATTGATATCAAAAAACAACTTCTGGTTTCACTGATTTTCTCGTGTGTTGTTGCTTTTTGCTGTGATCTTCATCATTTTCTTCATCCAACTTTTAGCTTAATTTCCTTATTTCCTTTTTTTTTGGGGGGGGGGTACTAGTTTTTTTGTTTGTTTGTTTTGCAGTTTTAGGCCAGGGCTGGGTTTGAACCTGCCACCTCCGGCATATGGGGCCGGCACCTTACTCCTTTGAGTCACAGGTGCAGCCCTGGGACTAGTTTTTTGAGGTAAAAGAAAAAGACTCATAAATTGATTTTTAGATCTTTTTCCTTTTTGAGGTAACTGCTTTAGTTGCATCCCCTAAATGTTTGATGTGTTATGTTTTTGTTTTCACTCAGTTTAAGTGTTTTTTGTTCAGTATTTTTATTCTTACTTTTTTTCTTAGTATGGCTTCCTGGGAATCAGCCCTATTGTTGCGTAGTTTTGTGGTTAATCAGTGATTGGGAAGAGACTGGGCTCAGGCGCTGGGGGCCCGTACCTGGCTGCCCCTGGCTAGGTGATTGGAGCTTCGCATCAGCTTCCCAGGTGGCTCCATGGGCATTGCCCCTCCAGGCCTTCTGTGGCTTTTTCTGCTCCAGAACTTTGGCATTGAGTTTTTCAGATTTCTGGCTGTCTGCTGCTTGTTCCATTAGGACCTTGATCAGAGGCTTGTGGATCCATAAGTGTCCCTGAGCCTCCCCTAGAGTTTACTACTCTTGACTGACCATGCTGCCCTGGGGTTTCCTGCGCACGCGGCTGTAGCTGGGAGGAGCCCTCACCAAGAGGGGCAGCACAGGGGCTGTCCTCACACCTTGGGACATACATTAGAAACTCTGTAAGTTGGCCACTCTGAGGGACTGTAACAAACCGGTCTACGTATGGAGGTCGTCACCATAAGGTACTAGAACTTTCGTACTAATACATCTATGTGGGACGTGTCTGTTCTGAAAAGTAGGTCAGCTTCGGGAATTGGTCTGCTGTGGAGGTTCTGCTGTGCCTGTAGACCTTTTCATGCCATACTAGCCAGAAGTTGGGACTCCACTGACATTTCATCTCATCTTTTCGCAGGTCCCTGTTACTTTCAGTAGTTTTAGCAAAGTTGCCTGCAGCCATCTCATTCCACTCCCTGTTCCTTCTCTTTGTTGAGCCCTTTTCTCCTTTAAACGGTCTCTGAAAGATACTTGAGGACCAAGAGCAGGAGATGAGTGTCGAGTTTCTTCTCATTTAATTTACCGGGTCACCATTGCAGATACTGGTGTAGTTTGAGCTGCCCACGTGAGGGCAATTTCCTAACCAGTGCCTGGTACTGTATATCCCTATTAGTGTCAAGAGAAAGCGACGTGCTAATGAAAGCTTTAATCTTCTTTTCCTGTTCAAGCACCTGTTTCTATTAGGATTACATAAGTTAGCAAGACAAACTCTGATATCCTTGCCACCTATCCTTTCTCTTGACCTCTTGCTACTCTTTTGGTAAAGGACTATTTTTAGTACCAAAAGTACTTAAGGACCTTTTCAGACTTACTTTTCGTGTGTCTGGACATAGAAGCAGCATCAATAGCATGGCTTGAATATATACTTGCTTCCTAATTGATTGAGTAGCTTTAGGGTCAAGAAATAAGGGAACTTCAGTAAGACACAACAGGTGCGGCTTCTGCATGTCTGCAGTTCCTGGGAGCAGAAATGCACCGCTGACGCATGCCTGCTCTGCACCAGCCAGGGCACTGGCAGCTCTCTGCAGGAGGGCAGGAGTTTCAGCCCGTGGTTAGGGATGCTGCTCATGTGGACTTTGTGAACACAGTGTTGAAGGAGTGGTGCCCATGGGGGAAGGCACTGCCACACGCCCCAGATCTGTGGCCACGGTTGGCAGGAGCTGGGCTGATGCCACAAGGTTAGGTTTGAATGGGAGTTAAGTTTAAAACTACTACTTATGCAGACTGCCAGATTTTAATAAGAAGAGTCTTGAAAATGAGTGATGTGTGTTGTAAGTGAGAAGTGCATATTGAATATACAGAATTTTTTAAAGTTAAGCAGTATTTCACTGAATTAAATAGCACATATTTTAATTACAGACTTCTTAAATGAATACAGTAATTAAAAGAGATCTTAATCCCAAAAATACTGTTAAAACTTTCCACTTGTTCAGTGAGAAATGTCCTTACTGGCTCTAGTGGATGACAGGTTTGGGCTCACACTGCTTTAAATGATCTTGTTTCTTGGGTGAACGCTGACGGAGGGCTTCTGGTGCTGGGAGGAGTATTTGGGGAGCAGACACTGAACCCTGTACTGCCTTGGTTTCAGCAGGGAGGAGAGAGTGATGGCTTCTTTCACCCTGACGGCCAGCCCCAGCGGCTCCCTCAGCCTCCGGATGTGGGACCACAGCCTGCCCGCAAGGTGACGCTGACCAGGGGGGGCCTCCAGCAGCCTTCACACCCCCTACCAGGGCCTCATGCACACTCAGCTGTTCCTCCGGGGATCAAAAGTATCCAAGGAGTTCATCCTGCCAAGAAGGTATGGCTTGTCATCCAGCCCATAGCACTGGGGCTGGGAAGGCTGCATTCCCTGTGCAGGGGATTGACATGAGACAGTTGTCTGATCCCTTGTGCCTGGCGCACAGTACTCATGTAATGAGCTGTCATTTCCTTTGTTCTGGTTTTGAAAACACGTGAGCATTTTTATCACACCCTTTCCTCTCCTGGCTATTTAATGGTACAATTCCAGTAAATCACCTACCAACAGTAGGCTGGCTTCCTGCATCTCTGAACTGTGTGCTCAGCAGCAGCTGTGTTCTGACACAGCTACGTGGGGACGTGTCTATGTGTGTGTGTGCACGTGCCTGTGCCCATCTCTGCACCCGCGCTTGTGTACCGCCCCAGTACAAGTATGCCTCCTTCCTCTACTTGGTGGTTTGTCCAAGGCTTCAGAATGTAGCTCATGTGTGCACACACTGATTTCATAGTCATGACTCTAGATCAGAGAGAGGAAACTAAAGCCTTGGGAGGGAAGTAACTTGCCCATGAAAGTGGCAGTACATCCTTCCTTGACCTGTGGATTAGAAGGTGTTTCTCTGAGCTCAGTCTGCAAGGACAGAAGCAAGGGTGCCCCCCGCCCCCTTCTCTGCAGTGACTGCTATTCAGTTGTGCACTGGGAGTACTGTCTTGCCATGTTTTCTGCTTCTAGTGTGAAGCACCTTCTTAGGCTCCCAGAGCTGCCACGGCTCTGCAGGAGAGATGATGGCCTGGCAGTGAAGTCTTGGTTTGGAAGCCAGAGCTGCTCACGATGGAACAACAGTGAGGAAGACAAGGAGGCAGCACCCTACTGTGTGGTCTTCCAGGGGAACTGGAGCCCACTATTTAGTGTACCCTCCCTGCTCATTTTGCTCCTAAGAAGTCATGTTAATACTAAGACCATTCTGCCAGGTGTGGTGGCTCACACCGTAATCCAAGCAGTCTGGGAAGCTGAGGCAGGAGGATCACATGAGGTCCGGAGTTCAAGACCAGCTCTGAGCAAGAGAGAGACCCTTTCTCTACCAAAAATAGAAATAGCTAGCTGGATATTATGGCAGGAGCCTGTAGTCCTGAGGTAGTAGAGGCTAACTTGAACCCAGGAGTTTAAGGTTGCTGTGAGCTAGGCTGACGCCATGGGACTCTAGCCTTGACAACAGAGTGAGACCCCATCTCCTAACTTAAAAAAACAACAACAACAAACCATTCTGAGTCTCTCTGAAGTGTTTAAATCACTTTGTGTATGTTATCTCAATACTTCATGATAGAGGACAGACTTACTCACTCTATTTTGTAGCAGGAGACAGATATAGGCGCTTGTGGTCTCTCCACTGGTAGTGATACAGTCTCTAAAGGTTGTTCTAGTCTGAAGCTTCTTCGCTGAGGGTTATCCCTGAGCATGTGATGAGAACTATGATGAGAACAAGCCTAGAAAACACATGCCCCTGTGGAGGGGGAAAAATGAAGTACTTGAGTGTCTTTTAAACGTCATTGTCTGTACTGTAAATGAGGATAATATTTCCTACCTTATTTGAATGATTGTAAAGGTTTTATGAGAAGATGCATATCAACATCCTGGTGCCTGACGTATAAGCAAGCCTCTGGTAAAGGATGTTATTATTAATACCACAACGTACTATGGCTAGAATGAAAGAGGAGTTACTTACTGCTGGTTTCCAGCCAGTGTAACTTCCAGCTTTGGTGTTTCCTCGAGTGGTTTTGTTGCCATCTGCGGAGCACGGAGAGGTTCCCTGTCACTTTCCGTGTGTGTCAGTGCATGTTCACCCCCACCCCAGGCCTAGGCCTGGTTCCCTCCTCGCTCTGCCTTTTTCTGTAATGAACAGGGGAGGCCGTTTTTGTCCCTTTCTACCCAAACTCTAGGACACAAGGTGGGTAGTGCTGTTGACGTGCACTCAGCCTTCCACGTTTCACTGTGATCCTGAGCAGGAGAAGTGAGGCACAGGTGTTCTCTCTTTCTCTAATGCTAGAAATTTCAACTGTCTTTTTTTTTTCTTAAAAGATCCTAGAGCAGGAATTTTGAACCCTGGGCACCTTTAGAAAATGATAGTGTCAGGACCCCACCTTAGACCAGCAAAATCATCTTGGAGGTGGGATCACACTCAGCCATTGCTGTATGTGTGTGTTTTTAAAAGCTTTTCAGATAATGGCATTGCACAGTTAGGGGTGAAACCCTTGTCACAGACTGTGCCTTTAAGGTTGTAGGGCTGGCAGAGGTACGTGTTTGCAGAATGAATTGGGTACATAATGCTGTGGCTTGTTGTGATCACAAGGTAAATTTGACACACAGCGGGTCCCTATGGAAACTGGCCTGTAATACAGTGGGAGAAATTTGGGCTCTGGGTCTGAACCCTTACCCATGTTACTTACTGGACATTTCTGAATCTCTTTGGGTGTTGTTCATCTGCAGAAGGATGCTGTCACCCAGAGTGCCTGCTGAGCATGACTTCATGGCACCTGGAGAGATTCAGGTGCTGTCACTTCCCTCCTGTTCTTCCACCTAGACTTGCTGGATTTTTTGGTCTCATTTAAGTATTAAACCACGGTCTGAGAGTCGAGAGTAAACCACAGAAAATCCTATAGCTCAGGGTATATTTTAATGGCTTGTAAGTTACCTGCGCACTTTTTATATCTTAGTAGCTGTGGAGAAACCCGGGCTCAGAACGGTTGCCTTTCCTTTGTTGTTGCCAGGCCATCATGCACGGGCGGGGCAGAGGGGCAGCAGGACCCATGGGCCGGGGGCGCCTGGTGCCCAACAAGCAGAACCTGCGGGTGGTGGAGTGCAAGCCGCAGCCCTGCGTGGTGTCTGTGGAGGGGCTGTCCTCATCAACCACTGACGCCCAGCTCAAGAGCCTGCTGATGTCTGTGGGACCCATTCAGGTAGGTCACCTAGGTGCGTGACATTTCTGCCGAAGTGTCCTATCTGAGATGAAATTATTTCTTGATTTTAAAGTGTATCCATTCCATTAGTTTATATAAAAATAATATTTGGAAAGAAAGGTAAAACATCTATTGTACATACTTAACATCAGAGTTGTTGCCTAGGAGTTTGGTTATTTTGAAATTTCTAGATGCTTAGTCATAAATTTTAAGAAATAACACCAAATAAACAAATTATCATTTGGGATTCTCCAGTCATAAAGTTCACACATGCACATGTACGTGTAGAGTTTTTGTTCCATCAAACCATTTGTTTCATTTGTAATAATTATTGAAGTTTTAAAGTATCTGGACTTTTTATCTTTAATTTTCAGAAACAGCCTCACATGTTAACAGCTGTGTAACTTGGTTTAGATTTTTTAAAATGTGACAGTAATATGGGCTGTCTGTTCAATTTTAAAACTGGCTAATTTTGATGCTTCAGAAGTCCCTGCTGAGTTGGCTGCAGCTGAAATGAATGGAAATGACATGAACTTGACTCTCAACTCTGGTAGAGACCCTGATCTCTGCAGGTGCTGTGCCCTGCAGGGCGGGCGGTGTGGCCATCCTGGTCTCCATTGCCAGTTGCTGCTGTTGTCACATGCTCTGTGTCCCCCAGCAGGTCTGGGTCTGAGTGCAGAGCACTTTGGAAACATGACTACTAGCGATTTTAGGACACCCAGATGCAATGTTAGTTTTCTAAGTAGTACAGAGTACTTTCTTACAAGAACATCTTACAGCCTCTTGCTTCATGGATAAAAATTTGGAAACATTTTCAGACTATGGTATGTAGAAGAAATTAATTTATAGTTTTAGATCTCCATCTGCTTTTGGGAGTGCCTAAAAAATGAATAGTTCTTAAGAAGTGAAAGCCCTTCAAAAACCGTGCCTCTGCTTAGGTTTAATTATTGCCAACTTCATTACTGGTTCCCAGAGAGATAGTTTAGTTTTTATTTGTGTAATAATGAAAAGTTAACCCTAAACCTTGGCTTTTTTTTTCCTTTAAATAAACAAAGGGCTTCACTCTGTTGCCTAGACAGTGCAGTGTTATCATCATAGCCCACTGCAACTCCTAGGCTTATATGATCCTCCTCTCTCAGTCTCCTTAGTAACTGGGACTACAGGTGCACACTACCAGACCCAGCTAAATTTTATAATTTTTGTAGGGTTAGGGTCTTGCTATGTTGCCCAGGCTGGTCTCAAATTCCTGGCCTTCAAGTGATCCTCCCTTTTCAGCCTCCCAAAGTGCTACATTTATAGGTCTGAGCCACTGAGCACAGCCGGCTTTTAGAATAGGCATCCCAGTGGTGCAGTTAGGAATATATTCTCACTTATCAGAGGCATGAAATTTATGTTCAAGGATAACTTATTTCTTTCTTTCTTTCTTTCTTTCTTTTTTTTTTTTTTTTTTTTTGAGACAGAGCCTCAAGCTGTCTGCCTGGGTAGAGTGCTGTGGCATCACAGCTCACAGCAACCTCCCAACTCCTGGGCTCAAGAAAGTCTCCTGCCTCAGCCTCCCAAGTAGCTAGGACCACAGGCGCCCGCCACAACACCCAGCTATTTTTTGGTTGCAGCCGTCATTGTTGTTTGGCGGGCCTGGGCTGGATTCAAACCCGCCACCTTAGGTGTATGTGGCTGGCGCCTTAGCCACTTGAGCCACAGGCACCGAGCCAAGGATAACTTATTTCTAAGCAGTTGATTATAATATGGATTGATTTACAGGAACAGAATTGTTACTAGAGAATTTCATATGCATTAAAATGTGGTTATTCTAATCTAAGACTCAAAACTAATGCTGATTGAGAATTCAGAGTCAAGCAACAGTTCAGCAATGAGTCCAGATGTTAAAAAGTCAGAACCTAGTCTGATGAGCTTTGGACCACAGATCAGCATGCTTGGCACAGAGGCTCCCATTTTATTCCAGTTTCATGGTGGTCCTCTTCTCCGCAGGACACTCAGCACTTCCCGGGGGGGGGGGGGTGACAGCATTATCATTTTCCCTTGTTAACCTGGGTGATTTTTATGGGCTTTGTTTCATTAATTTTGGTCACTTTCTTGGATATTTTTGAATGTGACACAGTCACCAAGATCCATGTCTTAGACAGTGAGTGCTGTGTTCCTATGGTACGTGGCTCTCAGCGAGGCTCCATGACACCATTATGAAACCCTTGGCCTCTGTTCTATTTGTCTTTGAAAATGAATTTTGGATTTTGAAGTGTGGGAGTTGTACCTGTAAAAAGAATGTCCTTTTTTCCTTCAATTTGTTGCTTTTTTCTGTTCTGAAAAGAAGTAGAAATCATTGTGTTTTAAGTAAAGTTTTATTGGGGCCATTTAAAACCAAAAACCATGTTGGAATTGACTGCTGGCTTGTTCTAACTAGATACGAAAGGGACGCAGAATGACACTGAAGGCAAGTATCAAGGCAGGGCTGGAGCTGCTCTGTGACCGTTGGGGTGAATAGCCATGTGCCATGGCAGGCCTCTGCCCGCCGCCCCCCGCACAAAGCAGAGACCTCTCCTTTCCACTCAGTCTTAAAGGCCACTGAGATAGTTTTGAGTGGGCATTCAAAGATTTTTAAATGCGGCATTCACAGATGCTACATTTATTAATTATAGACAAAACTGAGAACTGGTAAAAGAAGCATCAAATAGCTGAAGATATAATACTGAGAATTTTTAAAAGCCTTTCATAACGACTTTATTATGGTTAAATATATCCTTCAAAGGGAAAAGTTCTAAATGACCCAGGGCTTCAGCACCATCTTGCTGGTTTGAGGAAGAAAAATATCTTTTTCTGTGTGTTTTGGGATAAATGTTTTTTTACCCCACTTGTTTTCAGAATGAAAGGTCTTATCCGTCTGCTTTGGGACATGGCGCCACCTAGTGCTCACTGCTGGGACATGCATGGCGGCCGTGGCCCGGCTGGGACAGACCTATAGCTTGGGGCCTTCTGATTATAATGACTGCAGGTTAACAATACTTTGTAGACCTGTAGAATCTGAGTGGTAGCAGTGATAGGATAGCCATTTTACTCTTGAATTAGTGTTTTCTTCTCTTAAACAATATTCATAAGGCTTTAGAAAGTTCACTTCAAAGTCATTTAACTATAGGTTTATTTACAGAGTAATGAAGAATGACAAGATTTTGTAGAAAGGTCATAACTAGGATAGAAATGGCACAAGTATAGTAGTGTGTTTGAGAATTTCAGATGAGAAAAGGTGCTGTCAGAATGAGACCTGCATGATGGTCTCTAACATCAACATTAAACAAATCAGAAAGAAGGTTCTGCCTCAAAGAGCAGGGGACATGGGCTCCTGGGGAGGCCAGACCTTGCTCACAGGGAAGGGAGGTGGCAGTTTCTGCTGGTCCAGAGGCTTTGCCAGCCCAGGCACCTCCAGCCACCTCCCATTCTCTCAGTGGCATCCCTCTGGGGAGCAGCCATGACCACCTGCTCTGTCCTCAACGACTCAAACCAAATTAACTGTTAGAATCAGAAAGTAAGTTAATTGTAGCTTTTGAGGCTCCTTTACTTATATTTATTTTCCTATTGCTGGATTTTGGCTAAAACTATGTTAGGAAAAAACTGAATCCTATAAACGAAATTCCATGATTTGAAAACAAAGTTTCCTCACAAGAGTGTAAAGTTCGCAATCTCCCAGTGAGTAAAAATAAGTATTTTTCTGTTTTGGTTCTTAATAGCATTGAAAGGCCTGCACCAGACAGAGCAGCAGTGACAACAGGAGCTGGCATGTCGGTCACACGGCATATGTGGGCCAACGTTGTGTCCACTCTCTGTGCTAACTTCCTTATATGTTCCCTGGGACTCACGGACACATAACTCTGCATGCTTAGCTCATTTTTGCTGTGATGTCGGCCCTGGAAAAATGTAGCTGGCAGTCGCAGCAAGTCTGGGCTTGAGGTGTAACTGTGGTTCAGATTCTGAGTTGCTATTTCCTGGTGTGCAGCTTTTACACAGAGTCCTTCCCCCTCAAGAGCCTCAGTTAAAATTGGCATCACTGCCAAGCTCTCTGTGGTAGGGATTGAATGAGGTGACACGTGCTAGCCATGTGCATGGCCTCACATAGCACAAGCCCCAGCGAATATTAGTTTCCTCTTCCCTGTAAATCAGATTCTGATCATCCAGCCTAAGTGTCACTGGGCTCACTGTCTGAGAGGCTGCTTGTACTCCAGAGACCCACCACAGAACCCTGTTTCAATGGAGGGAACTTTTTTTGCGGGGGTGGGGGTGGGCAGAGTCTCACTCTCACCCTGGGTAGAGTCCTATGGCCTAGGGTCAGCTTCGCTTACAGTAACATCAATCTCTAAGGTTCAAGTGATCCTCTTGCTTCAGCCTCCCAAGTAGCTGGGACTATAGGTGCCCGCCACAATATCCAGCTAGTTTTCTCTTTTTAATAGAGATAAGGTCTCACTCTGGCTCAACTTGGTCTCTAACTCCTGACCTCAAGCAATTCACCCTTCCAGAGTTCTGGGATTACAAGTGTGAGTCACCTCACCTGGCCAGTTTCATGTTTCATATATAGTATAACTTTTGAAAATTTCCAAGTCATAGATACTTTTATCTGTCTGCTTCTGTTGTAAGATTTTTGACAGATGGTTTAAAATTAAACGGCCTATCGCTTCTCGGCCTTTTGGCTAAGATCAAGTGTAAAATTAAACGGCCACATGTGTAGGTGCTTTTAAAGGCTTACATGTTACTGTTAGGTATTTCTCTAGCCATCATAGCTCACTGAACAGGAGCCCAGAAACAGTAGATGGTCCTCATCACTGGGATGCAGTGGTGAGTGTAGTTCCTCAGGACAGTGTTGCACGATGTCCACACCAGAGCTGCCCGGGGGGCCTGCTCTTTGATCAGTCTGGGGCAATAAATTGAGTGTCATGAGAGAATTGAGAAGGGCCATGCTTCTTGAGGTTGAGGTTGCTGAGCAGTCACAGAATGGCACCTGGTAGGTGGGTAAGCTGTCTTCTTCCTGCCTGTTGTAGACCCGGGGGCCCTCACTAAATAGCAGTAGCCTCCGATGAGATGGGTATTGGTCTTGAAAAAGGATAGTGAGGGTCCCATTAAAAGTCACTTTATAGGAAGACATGAGAAGAGATGCCTCTACCCAAGGGCACCTGCTACTACCACTCACAGAGAAGGTTCGGCAGCTGCTGTGTCCAGGTGATGGAAGGTTTTAACACCAGCCTTGGAGGAAGGAAGTGTCATCATGGGAATGATTTATTAAAGCACAGCTTAGGAAGAGATTATTGGATAGCTAAGAAAAATTTCCAGGGAGATAGACAGGAAAGTCATTTTGTTTTAGTGATCTAAATGTCAGCCTACACTCAGATTTTGTATTAAAGCTGATAACGTATAAATGTATGTACAGGGTATCCACAAAGTTCATGTGCAATTTACTATGTTAAACTATTTTTTATTTTTCTGGAGACAGAGTTTCACTTTGTCACCCTTAATAGAGTGCTATGTTGTCATAGCTCACAGCAACCTCAAACTCTTGAACTCAAGCAATTCTCTTGCCTCAGCCTCCTGAGTAGCTGGGACTACAGGTGCCCACCACGACGCCCGGCTATTTTTTTTTTTTTTAAGAGACAGGGTCTTGCTCTTGCTTGGCTGGTCTCAAACCTATGAGCTCAGGGCAATCCACCTGCCTTGGCCTCCCAGAGTGCTAGGATTGTAGGTGTGAACTGCTGCACCTGGCTGTTAAACTATTTTAATTTGCACACAAACTTTATGTCTACCCTGTGTATATATATAATTTTAAAAGAGTTTTTACCATTTACAATGTGATTTTAAAATATTTGTTCTCTTCCTCTAGAGTTTACAGATGCTTCCCCAGCAACGGAAAGCCATAGCTAAGTTCAAGGAGCCAGCCCATGCATTGGCGTTTCAGCAGAAGTTCCACAGGTACTAGTGCCCTGCACCGGTGGTGGTGTGGGCAGGTGGGGGCGGGGGGGGGGTTGTCTTGCGCCCCTTTGCACTGACAGGTGCCCCTGCTGCTGTACAGTCCAGCAAGATGTGGAGCAGACTGCCAGCCCCTTGTCAGGCAGGGCCACCGTGGTCAGGTGGAGACTCAGCCCTTGTTTTTAGTAGGTCTTATCTGTAAAGCCGTGTGTGGGTGTCCGAGGCTCTCATTGGTCAGGATGCCCCATTCTTCACTAGTTTTCTTCCCCTTGGTAAACTGATGCTGGTGCAGAGTTGCCACTGATCATTTCCTTAAATTCCCACAGGCATATGATAGACTTGTCTCACATAAATGTGGCCCTGATCGTGGAGTGATTCCAGCAGGAGACCTGACCTTGTGCTGTACACACACTGTGGGATTTCTTCGAGGAAGCTGCCACGGCGCAGAGCCCCAGGAGCTTAGATCTCTCCGGCTGTTGTCTGGAGCGCCAGCCGGCCACAGGGTTGATTCCAGGAGAGCTGAACTTAACTTACACAGCACGCTGGAGTTTGGTGTTAGGTTGATTCCTTCAGATTCTGTTGTCACCACAAAGAACTCCAAGTTTTTCGTTTTCTTTTGTTTTCAAAGTGCTTACAATGCATGTAGACGTTGTTCTTCGTGATCTGACTGTGTGATCGGTCACAAGGACTTAGATTCAGGAAAGAACATTAACGTCACAAATTCCAAGTATTTTTCACAGTGAAGAATCTTTGATAATGGTTGCACTTATCTTCAGTGCAGGCTAGAAAAGTCTTCTCCACCACGCTCAGCCTGCGTGGTCTTCTCAGAAAGCCCTCAAATGGCTCTTATAAAAACGTAGATTAAAATTTGGGTGACGATTAATTGACATTTGCATATCCTGGAGAGCCAGGGTGTGAGCGGGGTGGTCGGGAGTGGTGCCAATTGAACAGAGATTCTGCTTCTTGTCAGTATTTCAAAAGCGCCAACTGTATGCTCCTAGTCCGAGGGTGACTGCTGCTTCCTTGGGTTCTTTCACAGTCAGGTGAGAGGGCTGGACAGGCCCCTGGCCGTGGTGCCCTCACCCAGCAGCCCACGGCCCACGGCTGGGTTCTGACCCCATGGGGCAGAGGAGCAGCCTGAAGGCAGAGCAGGCCCGTCTAGGCTTCTTCCTTGTTAAATGCAGCTCACAGTGGCCTGTTTTGTTGTGCTGGCTCTGTCATATATGACATTCTTTGGGAAGCTGGTTATCATTGCTTTGATTACCCTTTTTTATTTTTGAAGGCCACTGAGCAGGAACCACACTGTCCTTCAGCGGATCTGAGAGCAAGGTGGTGCTCCCTTGTGGTGTGAGGGCGGCTGTCAGCCAGGGACAGTGGAACCTGAAATGAGACGTGTCTGTGTCATCATCGAAATCGCTTTTAGTAATTCTAGGTAGGTTCCCTTAGGTGAGACTTAGTCTGCTTAAGAAACCTTAGTGGAATGAATTCATTCTTGGAAAACACTGAAAAAGTGCCTTATTATATTCTGCTTATAAAGAATTTTACTGTTTTGGATATATTCTGAAGTGGCCCTAAACTATTTGAGCAAATACTACGAGGGCACACTCAGATTTTTTAGCTGTCTTTTATACCTACAATTTCATGTCACATTTACTAATAGAATTAAGGGATCTAGAAGCCTGTTATCACTTACTACCTCTGCAGTGAGCGCAGCCCCAGGGCTGTCACCTCCGGAAGGAGGGGCTGACGAGAAGGGCACAAGGCTTGTCTCATCTCGTGTCTGCAGCTGACATTTTCTATGCTTTTTCAAATTAAGTTACCAAAACGTTATTAAGCGGAGAAGAATATTCCAGACCCTGCGAGGCTTTCCGTAGCATTGACTACTAAATGGCATTGTGTGCTACAGAGAAAAACAGGCAGCTGCAGGTGTGTTTTGGTGGCTGCTTTTCAGAAACTGCTGGTCCGGGGAAGTCAGGCACTCACAGGCTATGCTAGAAACCCTGCAACTATGGTACCAGCCCCTCTGTTTCAGAAAGCCGTGGGCCACCTTTGGAGGGTGGGGTCGGAAGGCAGCCCTGCCCGCCATGCATGCAGGAGGGCATCCAAACAGCTGGCCCACAACTGCACTGCCCACTGTGTTCACAGTGAGATCCGATGTGTTTCTCTATTTAAAAGGCGTAGTTTATCTGTCTCAGTCACAGAGAGCAGCGTTGAAAGGAGTGAGTTTGTAGCCCATAGGCTCTGTTTTTAAACAGAGCTCCAGACCACCTAGTGCAAGGGTGGTGGGCAGGCTTAGACTCCTGTGTCACCGAGAGCTTCCTGGTGCAATAAGTGAGTTTAACTAACTTCTGCCACTTTCTGAGGTAGCTGAGTGTGCTGTGGTTTAAAGACCACAAGTCTGCAGTTGTCTGGGAAGTGGGGAATGGAAGCTTCTCTGCAGTTAGTGTAGTGACGCTGGGCCCGTGGGCACCAGTGTGCAGCACAGGCTTCCTGCACCCAAAGCCCTGCTTTTGGTGTTGTCTCAGTGTCATGTGGAACCTGGGAGGTGTGTGTGTCATAAGTGTCCACACACAAACAAGTTTTCTCTTGATAGAATGTTCTGGAAGGACAATCAGCATAGTCAGCCAGACCTGTCCTAAAGCACCAGTTACGACAGCCGCACACAGCCCCGCCTCTTAATGCTAACGATCATTGAAAATGGGCTCTTAGCACCTGCCCATCTCAGTAATACAGAGTTAGTTTCCTCGAAGGAAACCACAGAAAAGGAAAGAAGCAGAATTAGAAAGTAATGTTATTTCCACTTTTGGTGCCCTTCTCTCAGTGAGTCAGACCGCGTAAGCTGGACCCTCGTGGAAGATCTGCTGCAACCATTATCTCTGTTCTTTCTTTATCATGCATTTGAAATGAGATGCAGGGCGTTGAGCATAGTGTAAATACGGACCTTGCAGAATGACAATGTTATTGGGAATGCTTTCAACTCAGCAACATCTTAGCTACTTGTTAGTTCTTTTGTGTTGTCTTATCAAAGTTTAATGGAGACAGTTCCATAATTGTTGTGTTTGTGTGTAAATTCGACTTTTATAAAGATGGTAGTAAGTCAATACTTTTATCCTGATCTGTGTATTATTTGTTCACAAATTCAAGAAGCTTAAAGGCAGTAAATATCAATATATCTCATAAGGTAAAAACCAGTGGATAATTATGTGGAGCCAAGTTACTTTTTCTTTTTGCGTTATCTTGTTTTGATTTTGTGATGTAACGTAAGTTCGCTTAGCAGCTTATCTGAACGTAGCATTGCTTTGCCCTCGGTCTGGCCACGTTTGTTAAATCCATATCTGATACTCTTCTAAAGGGTAAATCTCTTCTTTCCAAGAGAGATTCTGAGGGGTACCCCCTCTGAGAGAGCAGGTGGCAACCTGTGCAGATGCTGCACCCTGCCTTGCCGGGCGAGTTGGTGGGTGGGATGGGGTGTGGTTTCCTCGTGCCTGTTTTTAATATGGGTAGTTCTGAACTTGCTCTGTAAAGGCCCTGGACAAACAGCGGTTTAAGCTTGGTTCCTTAGCATTTCTGAATTGTGACAGAGCTTTCATCCTGCACCCAGGGTTTTTTTCCCTCAAATAGTATTTTGCTGAATTCTGCAAAGTGAAGGCTTTGTTTCTGAGGGAGGTGGGAGAGGAGTGTAGTGGGAAGGGGGGGTGGGCTGTCACCTCAGTGTTAACGGGACACTTCCTTCTAACACTCTGGCCTGTGAGGGCAGGTCACCCGGTCAGTCACGGTGGAAGCAGCTGGGCATATGTGCTGGATGCCCCCTGCGCCTGGCACCTGCTCAGCTCCACACAGATCCAGGTGTGTGAGGCAGGGGAGGCGGAGGAAACCTAAGGACTTGGACTTTTTCTCCTAGGATGGGTTTTAAGAACCATCCATGTTTTTCTTCTTTTGGCTTTTTTTTTTTTTAATTTCATTGTTTATTTTTTATTTCTTTGTCATTTCATTGGGAAGGTAAGCTTAACATGCTCATAGACCGTGGACTGATACTTACTGGAAACAGGTTTTAGTCACATAACTGCATAAAACCAGGGGCTCTATGTGACGGCTGCCCCGCTTGGGCCTGTCACAGAGGCCCAGACACTCCTGTGCTCTGTGGCTTTTCTCCCCTTGGTGCTCACTGGAGAGAAGAGTGGCCCAGGAGTCAGATCTCATCCCAGGCAGTGTCTGCAGGCCTGGCCCTGGGGGACTCTGGGCCCCAGCTCCTCCTCACTTGGAGGCTTGCTCTGGCTTGGTACCCTGGGAGGTCCAATGGCCTTCTCTGCATTAAGCTATAACCACCTTCCCACCACCCATTTATTTGGAGTGGGAGGGAGAAGAGGGGGAGAGAGAAATCTTGAAAGGTATTATTGGTTCTTTAAAAGATTATAGGTGCTATTGATGGGGGGTAGGGTAGGAAGAGACCAAGAGGCCCCCCATGAAGGAAGCCACAGGGACATTTACATCCATGAGGGGAGAGTGTAGACACTTAAAAGTGCTTGACGAGCATTTCTGCTGACCTTTCAACTATTTTTAAAAGTTGCGAATGAAGTGCTATTTTGGTTATTCTTAAATATGAACTCTCCAGAGGCATCTAGCCTTGATTTAACATTAAATCCTAAGGATTTTATGTAAGGTTTTTTTGCAACCTATTTAATTTTTTTAAAATACCTAACTTCTTAGGTATGTAAGTCCATGGTTTTCTGGAACCAAAGCAGAACCCACTGATTCATATTGGATCCCAGGTGTACTGTGGCAGCGTGTGGCTGAAAGGGCCACTTCTCTCACACGCTGTCACCTGTCTCTTCTAGAGGACATCTTACAGTTCTGACTCTCTTTTCTGTCGTAGTTTGGCAGGCCCTTTCAGTCAGGTCAGGCAGATGGAGCAGGTATTCTGAGTGAGCTGTTTCTCGGGTACTTGGTTTTCCCATTTCCTTCTAACCAACTGAAATATTAAGAGGGCTTCATGTGGATGTTTTGCTTGTTTTTATTTTACTAATTTTAAGAGGTATGTAGAAAAATGTAGGGCCTTATAAAAGAGGCAGCATGTAGTTTTTTACTTGTCGTGTTCCACAGAGTGGACAAGCAGGCAGCATTTTAATACCTTCTGTGTTTACCAGTTCAGTGTGCTCCAGAGAGCAGACCTCACCACGTCCTCTCAGCGTGATTCTCCTTTAAACAACTTCTCATTTTAAGGCACATGTAGTGGAAGCTGATTTTTAAAGTACTTTAAATTTCATGCATTCTGCAGTATTTTCCTATACTGTATATACTGAATATATGAAATTTTACAATAACATGTGCACATTTTGCTGACATGCAAGGAGCAAGTCATCACTCATTTTTATAATTCAGCTTTGCTTTTCACAGGTGTGGGATCCAGAATGTTTTTCCTCTGTGAGGATTTTAACTCTTAGGCTTTAATTCCACTATTTAATTTTCAGGTACAAGGACGACAAAGCACAGAATCAGAGTTCCTTCATTCTTGAGCTGATTCTGTCTGTTGGGTGTTTCTGTCCTCCTCTCGAGACTCATGTCCCTAAGGGGACCACTTCACCAAGCCTTGCCCCGGCTCTTCCCCTCCTGGCTCTCCTGTTTTGCTTCCCTATGTCTGGACCTGACCGCTCTTTCCCACTCCGATCCCCTCTTGTCTCTTCCTTCCTCCCCCCACCCCAACCCCCACTGTTGCTGTCTGTGCTGCTGAGGGCTGCACGGGGCCCTGTTGCCCTGCTCTGCATCACGTCCAGAACCCCACTCTGGGTGGGAGCGAAAGGCTTTGGGTGTTTGTGGACTGTGTTTGCAAGTTGATCCCCTCTAAACCTTTGCTTTGACAGGTCTTTACTCATGATTTATTCCTCCAGGTCTGATTGGAGAGAATAACATTTTTATTCTGTTATTTTGCAGTTTGACTCTGTAGGACTGTGCTGACTCACAGATGCCAGTGTCCTGTGGCGTGCACCTGGCCATGTCATTAATCACCCACCTCTGTTTCTTATCCCCTCTACTTTTGCAGGACCTCTTGTGCATGGGTTCAGTGTTGTTAGTAGCGCGCCTCTCATTCCGCTTGGAAGTGATGGCCGTCTGACCCTTGTTTCTGCTCTCACTGACTGGCCCTCCCGACTCTGATGCGTGCGCTGGATGTGCCGCACCAGGGGCAGCGCTGGCGTGGTAGGGGGAGCGCTGTGTTGATTGGGAGCATTGCGAGTTCAGAAATCCAGAGATGCCTGGATTGCCTTCCTCTGGGTCTGAGCTACTTCCTGTTTTCTCCCCAACACATGAAGTTGGCGTCTGTGGGAATGACATGACCTCACTGTTCATTTTGCGTTCACGGCTGTGGGAACTTTCTCAGGAATATATGTGAAGAATAGTAGTGACATAGTTGAAAAGCAAATGTATTGTTGTTTCATTTATGTGACTTCATACCAAAAAGTGTGTTTGAACTATACTGTATGTAATGTGAAAGTTGTGTTAATAAAATCTCCAGTTTCTACTGTGACTCTGCGGCTTCCATTCTCTCACCACTCAGATCTGTCTACACCACATTAACCCTGGTGCACAGATAGCACCTATGACCCTGCGTCAGAGGACTGGGGTCGTGTTTTCTCCAAGGAAGGGGGCTAACCCCTGGTCCCTTGGGTTGCCCCCTCTGGTACAGCCTGTGGCTTGGACACAGTATGTAATCAGTGGTCCCATAACCAGATCAGGGTCACCTCTGTCTCACGTGCCATGCATGCTCTGCGTGACTCTGAAGTGACCAGGGTCAAAGTAAGATCTGTTTTGTTTGGGTGGGGGAGTTAATAGTCTCCACATTTGATCCTAGCGAGTAGGTGGGAAGTTTTAAGTTTTTTAAAACACTACAAATAATTTCTACCCTTATTCAAAAGAGACTTGTATTATAACATTATAATAAAAGGCTGAAAATGTAGAAAAATAGTTGCCCATGTGCCCTGCTCACTGCCCCGTAAATGCGGTGTGCTGTGAGTAGTTGGGATCGGTGCTTAACACTGTTATGTCCATTTTTCATTTAATGTAGCATAAAGCATTTTTCATGTTCCTGAAAATTGCTTGGAATTCATGGTCTATTTTAAAAAATATTTTTAAAGTAGCTCCACTTTCAGGAAACATTGTTAAAGGAGGCAGCAAGGAGAGACGAGCCCAGAGTTTCATAGGCCCCGCCCCTTGCTGGGGCTTCCCACCCACTGGGTCTTGGTGCTGGTCTGTGTTTGGGATTAAGGGGGTGGCAGTTACTGGCTCTACCCACTTGGCGCACTTCACCCCTGCAAAGCCTCAGTTTCTTACCTGTAGAAAGGACCACCGTTCTCAGTAAATGCCACCCCCTGCTGTCCCTCGGGTTTGATGGGAGGTATGAGGCTTCCCCTACTGAGGCCTCTGTCACCCTTTTTGGGACAGTCTGCGGGCCAGTGCCTGTGACTGGTTTAAGCAGTTGGGGGCATGGCAGAATTTCCGAGTCACCCTGGGTCCAGCCAGACCAGTGTGCGGTGTCTGACTGAGGCCACTGGAGGGTGCTGGGGAAGAGCACAGCTGTCGCCAGGGTCCTAGCCTGTACTGATCCCTTAGGCACAGGCTGTGTAAGGCCGCTGCCTGGCAGTGCTGAGCAGTGCCAGAAGGGAGCCGTCCCAGACCTGAGCCTTGGCCTGTTCTTCATGCATTTCACACTTGCATAACTGGTGTTTTAATCCCAGCGACACACAAATGGGTGCTCTCAGCAAGCAGGGTGGCCCCCAGTGCATAGTTATGTTGGCTGCCAGGAACCTCTTGGCTCCACAGCAGAATCCACCTCCTATCTCAGAAAACTATAGTTACTTCAAGAGATATTGTGTGCTGGCGTCCTCTTCTCCCTGTTTGTAAGTCTGGGAAGAAAAATGTGTTAGTTTGGACCTAAGGAAGAAAGAGGGAAGTAAAAGGGACTGCTGTGGATGGAAATGGAAATGGAGGAAGTGATCTGTGACAAGACGTATGTGATTAATTTCTCAAATCTGATTTAATAGAATTTTAAAACCTAAATTATCCAAAAATACCATGTGATGATAGAGTGAAAAACAATTTTCTCTCATTAATGCATATTCCAAGAATAAATCATTCTTTGTGTAAAATCTGGAGTTGTGAATAATGGGAACTTTACGGAAGATGGGCAGAAACACAAGAGATTCAGGGAGAAAACGGGGGGGGGGGGGCTTTGAATTTGAGAGAGATTTATGAATAGAAGCTACTGTAAAGGTTTTGTATGTTCACATCTTTGTTCCCCAAAGGTGCCCAGGCCCCAAGGAGGTCTGGGTGTATATTTCTGCAATGAATTGTGTGGTCTTAGCAGGCCCAGGGCGTCTCTGCAGAGCAGGCTTGCAGGTGGCAGCAGTGTGAGCTGCATGAGACCTCCCACCTCATCTTGGGGTCCTTTTCTTACTCAAAAATGTAATTCCGGGCAGCGCCTGTGACTCAGTGAGGAGGGTGCCGGCCCCATATACCGAGGGTGGCAGGTACAAATGTGGCCCCAGCCAAACTACAACAAAAAAATAGCTAGGTGTTGTGGCAGGTGCCTGAAGTCCCAGCTACTCAGGAGGCTGAGGCAAGAGAATCGACTAAGCCCAAGAGCTGGAAGTTGCTGTGAGCTGTGACAACACAGCACTCTACCAAGGGTGACAAAGTGAGGCTGTGTTTCTTTAAAAAAATGTATTTCCATGTTTTCAAGGAGATGATTTATAGTTAAGTCAGAGGAAACACAAGTAGTGAAAGAGTTTATAGGAAAAGCTCAATGCTGAGGAGCTGTGGCCCCAAGACATGGCAGCATGGAGCACTCTGGTCATGCCTTGCCTCGAGAGGTGGTGGCCGCAGTGGCCGCAACCTTGTGTTTGAAGTGGAGCCTTCTTGCTGTCCTTGCCTCGGGCTATAAGAAGAGAAAAGTTCCTTCCTGCCCTTTC